CCAAAGACAAGTTCTTACAGAGAACTCACTATCGTAAGTCTGATATGGGCAGAGTAAACACTAAACATTCCTCCACAAGGAAGGAAAATTCAATGCTGTCACTTGTAGAAGATACCGTATATCACTCACCATTTAAACCATCTTATTAATCCGACACTTTCATTGAGAAAAACATCCGACACGGAGACCCCCATACCTCTTCATTCTTCCGTATCTTATTCATTTGACAAAACCTCATTCCCAACGCCTAGCCCCACAGTCACTTCTCTAAGGTTTATATATTGTCTTATCGGCATCAGTGCCGAACTTATCTAGAAATATAGATATCACCATGTATCACCTTTAAACCAGCACTCTCTTTCCGCGATTTTGGGATTAAACTACTACGCGCACCCCGAGAAGACCTCTCGAATAACTGGGACAAGACAAAGTCCAAAACTCTGCCTTGCGGAATACCGGTTCCCGTGGTACCTGCTGGTACCTGACCCCAGCTTAAATCATTCCAAGATAAAGCCGAGTATACCTTTGACACCACTAGTTTATGTAGAGGTACTTGTAGCACTCTTTTTCCCCAGGACTGCATGGGTTTGACAATAGTTGCGACACAAAAACAAAAAAATTGTCGTTATTCACATTATTATTTCAAAAAAGTAGAGGCCTTTTTAAAGGCCAATGGCCTATATGTCATATGTTACAAACTGAAAAATAAACCCCTTCAAACGTATCAAAAGAATTGGTTGGACCCACTAAAGTATTTTAAGACGATCTGAAATTTTATTGCAAATGGTCAAAATCGGTCTAACAGAAAAAGATATTTAATGTCTCTTGTTCATATCAATTAAAACATGACAGTGCTTATGTTTTATATACAATACGGCAAATATCGAAAAAATATCCCTATGTCGTTCAAAAACAATATAAACCATAACGGACCTTAAAAATGGGAAATTTTGAAAATCAGCACTTAGCAAAATACCTGATAAATATGATGAAATAGCGCCAGGATTCACTTTGCAATACGTAGAGGATTACCGAAATGGTCACCGAACATATATGTAAATACGTGTTTGGTCGTACTGAATCGGTACTGAACCCATGTTCTCTTTAAGTTAAATATAATTTCACTTAAGTTTTAAACTTCGAAATATGTATTAGGTGCCACCTCAATGTACATATATAAGGACTTCTCAACTCCGTTGTATACTCATAATAGAGCATATTACTTTTAAGGACTTTATATATTTGTTGCTTTTTCGGTTTTGTAAATATATATATAAGTAGATATTTATTTCTTCGGCTTAATGTAAAATGGATGTAATTTGTCTTAATTAGAAATCTTAAGAAGATGTATGTAATATGTATAATTTATAACCTAAATGCTCGATATACTATCTTTTATATTGGTACTTTGTTATTTTGGACCATTAGCCATTTCAGTGAAGATATATATTTATGTACACAGCAACAATAAAAGTAAATATGTACTGTATTTAAACTAACATTATTGGTTTTTAATATTATTTGGTTTTGTTTTTTTCTTTTTATTTTATTAAATTGTCTTAAATTCAATTTAGTCATAATATGATTGATGTATTTTATTTTTTTGTATACGAGAACATGTAACAATTGAAAATTAATTACGAAATTAATCTCAGATAAATAAAATGATAAATATCAAATATAAAGAAAACAACTAAAACCCAATTGGAAAATTAATTTAAAATCCAAATATTACCTTTCGTATAAGTACGAAGAATATATTAAAAATACGATAGTGTATACTTGTTCAAGACATATAATATTTAAAACACACAGAAATCGGTTGAAAATTGTAAAAGTTATTACAAATTCTGTTTGAAAAGGGCATGATGGGCGGAGATGGATCTTTTGTGGGAGCTATAGTCTATTATGGACCGATCGGGGAAAAAATATTTTCAGGTCGAATTTTATCCCGATACCGTTATTAAGCGTGAGCTATTAATGATGAAGTGATTTTAATAAAAAGGTTTTGTATTGGAGCTATTAGCGATTATGGACTGAATGCCGAAGTGCTTTACGTGAGTACCTGCCGGGTTGGCCTATCTCACGGTGGTCTTTTTCAACCACTGGGTAGCCTTGAGAACGGTCTACCATCGCCCCTTCAATCTCCAATGAAGAAATCAGGTGGCAATTTTTGTACATGGCTGAGCCGTTCCATTACAAGCACTTTGCTGAAGTATCGATTATGGACTGATCGAGAAAATTTTCTGTGAATAATTTTTTATGTATAAAACAAACAAAAATTCGGTCTAAACATTGTCGCGATATGGTGTTTCGCCAATGACTTATGTTCGTTTAATTGATTTTCAGAAATGAATCTTATATTGGATCCCGATTTTAGTTAGTAATACGATTTTTATTGATATTAGATTTATATATGTATATATATCCAAATTTTTTTAGTAATACCGAAATTGAAGAGGGAGTTATTAATTTAATTAATTAATTTTTTTTGGTCCGATTAGGCTGATTTTAAATAGTGAACTTTTCGAAAGCATCTCTGATAGAATTATTAAAGATTTGGATTTCGCAGACATCTGGGAACTTCTGAAAACTGATTTCAACATATTATGGCATGTTACCTTGACGATCTTCCCTATTATGATTGAAATCCGGGAAAAACAGGTGCTACAAGTCGGGACTATAAACTGGTGGTGTCAAATATATCCATGTTATTTCCTTGGAATGATTTGACCTGGGGTCGAACCAGAGGTGCAACGGGAACCAGTAGCCCACAGGGCAGGGTTTCGGACTTTGTCTTGTACGGGTTATTGAAGAGGTACAGGTACACAGATGAGTGATTGTGGGACCAACGAGTAGGTGTTAAATGAATAACATAAGATATCCGACACATTGTATAAATGTGTCGAATGTTTTTATATTAGAATTGTGCTGGTGGCGGATGTATGGTATCACCATAAAAATTCTCTTCTTGGTGCAGTTTAGACTGGGCTCTATTCAGATTAGGGTTTCAACAGAGTATTCTCTGTAAGAACTTATCTTTAGCTTATTTGATGATTTTACATCATCAAAATTAAACGTACCACCGTGAATTAGGTCGAAAATTTTCACAAAAATCCAATATGGCTAAATCGGAGAGAAATGAAGGTCTAACAGATATATAGAAGTCGAAGAGCACTTTGGTGTTTCAATAAGAAAAGGAGCCTATAAAGATTAATGCTTTGATTCTTTTGTACTCAGAGTCTAAGCTAATGCTAGGTTGAAGTCGTGTAAAGTTCAGAAAGGTCCAGATCAATTCGGTAAATAACTTACACAGAGGGAAAAAGAAATATACACGCCTGGTACCAAATTGACACCAAACTGTTTATAATTTTTCAATAACATCCGTTGTCACAGAACATACATACGTACGAAAACATTATGTAATGTTACCAATTTTGCGTTGTCAATTCGTTGTCGAAATCTAAATTTTAGAACACAGATATGTATAAAATTAAGATTTCGACAACGAATTGTTGCAATGTTGAGAACGTTGCGTGTCAACATTACATAGTGCTGTCGTATATATGTATATACTTTACGGATGTTATTGAAAAATTATAAACACTTTGGTGTCAATTTGGTACCTGGCGTGTATATTTCCTTTTCCCTCTGTGTATAAGAAAAAACGAACCAAAAAAATGAGTTCAAATTTTAATTAAAATACACTTGTTGTGTAATGTATGATAAAACTTATGCACTGGGAAACTTTTTAAAACTTCTGAGGCAAGATTTTTATGCGGCTGATGAACAGGGTATTGTTTAAGAATAATACCAGATTAAAAAAACAACAAAATTCCCCAAGATGTTTTTGTGTGGCAAGCCATTGGCAGTTGTGGTAAAATAAGCCAATCATTTGTGACGTCAGGCACAGAAATATACATATATTACGTAGTGTTTACAAAATCGGGGTTAATATTTAAACAGCTCAAAGTGTCTTCATATTTCTGGATCGATTTGGCATCATGCCATTTTGGAAAAAATTGCTCTTTAGTGGTATACAAACAATAATGACAATTTCATACCCTGAGAGGCAAATCCACAAAACTGTTCAGAACATTTTCAATTACAATTATATTAGAAGTAATTGTAATTGAATCTTTACCAATTACAATTACGTGTAATTGTAATTGAAGTTTTGCCAATTACAATTATTTGTAATTGTCATTGAAGTTTTGACAATTACAATTACTTGTAATGGCAATTGAAGTTTTGCCAATTACGATTACTTGTAATTGTAATTGAAGAATTTCCAATTACTTGTAATTGTAAGTTTTGCTCCTTATAATTACTTGTAATTTATATATAATTACAAGTAATTTTAATTGTAAACTTCAATTACAATTACTAGTAATTGTAATTGGCAAAACTTTAATTACAAGTAATTGTAATTAGTCATTGCTCAATTACACATTACAAGTAATTGTAATTGGAAAAACTTCAACAAGTAATTGTAATTGGAAAAACTTCAATTACAATTACAAGTAATTGTAATTGGTTATTGCTCAATTACACATTACAAGTAATTGTAATTGATAATGTAATGAATACTTTGTGTAATCATTTAAAAGAAGAAAAAACAACCTAATATACCAACTGGCAAACATATGTATGTCTGAGGAATCGATTCCGTTTGGAATAAATAATTAGATTAAATACATTACATACTATATATAGTTGTCAATACCAATTGTCGTACTTTTTATATCTTTCAAATCCCTTAAAAGATATATGAATTTTTAATTGCTTAACGTATCGTATGTCAAAAGTAGAAATCAGCAAAACTTTTTGTTTAATAAATGATTACCAATTTAAATTATTTCCTTTGCAACAATTCTACACCACAAACGTTTAACCGGCTAGGAAGTGATGTCAATGTAAATAATATTTGTAACAAACTGAATTGAAAATCGATAAAAAAAAATAATAAATATTTCTTTGCTTTTGTTATTATTACTCACACGTTCTTTTTGTTTAGTATTACAATATATTGTAAGAAACGGTAGGAAGAACTAGATTTGCGTAACACTATTAAGAATACAATTGATTTTCTTTTTTATTTTATTTTTTTTTTTTTTTTTTCAAACTTACTTAAGTTTTATTTCAAAATGACATGTTTTATACTAGAATTTTAATTAATTTTTATATAAACACAAACACTTGCCAAACTACAGAAGGACATTTAGTTAATTTATACTAAATATTGGCCATATTTTACAGATATTTGATTTCAAAACTTGTTTGAATTTCATAAATTCGAAAACAGTATTTTGGCCTTTAAGGTAAATATTTTATTTATAATTATAATTTAATTAATTATACTAATTATATTTTCATTATACCGTATTATTTATTATATCCTTCACATATAATTCACTTCATTACACCGAATAATATTTATCAATTTCTTTATATTTATTATGATTTTAATTCACATTCCTTAAACATCCATCCGTGTGTTCAAATCCATGTCCCGTTACACACGACAAACCACCCTTAACTGAAACATTTTAAATGCAATTTACCGTTAGAAGCACTAAAAATTTCTTCAAACATTTTCAATACTATTTTAAATGTTTTCTAAATCGCACGAGCAAATAGCGTCAAGGTTGAAAACGACAACAACCCTTTGCAATGTTTATTTCTCGAATAACTAACGGTAGTTTTGTAAGAATCACAACGTTTATACTACAATTAATGATGGCAGCAAACAACTGTTATGGTGAATTTCTTAGTCTTTTGCATTCGATTTGCTTTAAAGAGAACTAAACTCTGTGGTGAAAAAGGCATAAGAAAAGAGAGAGACTAATATGCGCCGAATCCTTGTTTTGTTTACAGTTGTTAAATTCCAAATGCATTCCTTAAATTCCTTACCGACAATCATATGTTTTTTGTTTTTGTTTTTCTTTGCTCATATACCCAATAGACAAATTATGAATTAATTTTAATGTTAATTGAATAGATTTAAGTTGAAGGGATGTTATAATGTCGAAAGGAATTACCATTAACATTAAAGTTATTAAAATCCTCTTTTATAGATTCTCATTTAATCAAGACTCTGAAAACTCAGATGAAGAACAATAGATTTCACTTAATTTTTGTAGCTTATTCTGTATTTTTGCTATCTAATCTCTGACCATTGCTGGCACGAAACAAAGAGGGACAATTCAATGGTAACACTTTTCACCATTCAAACATGGACACTTTTCACTTATATAACGCTTTCTTTGAATAAAACATCCGACACACTTACTTTAGGTATGCGGGTGGTTATGGCCCGCATACTCCTACATTCATCCCGTATTATTTATGCTTGACAATAACTCATTTCCAACGCTTAGTCCCACAGATACTCCTTTGCGGAGTTAATGTCGAATGCTTTACGTGAACACCTGTCGTGTTCGCCTATTTCACGGTGGTCTTTTTCAACCACTGGGTGTGCTATTGTAACGACTCACCACCGCCCCATTGTGCTTCTTACACGCAGGTGGCTATTTACTTATATGGAATTTCCGGTCCAGTATATGTGCTTTTTGCTCAAGTTCTTGAGCTATGTAATCTCTGACCATTGCTGCCCCGTTGCTTAACTTTTGAGATGCAAAAACATCACTTCTGTTTACAACGACGTAGATGGCAAGGCTTCTGTAGTGAATTTAATACGAAATACTTTTATAAAATTATATTTAATTTTGATCTAATTATTTTTGTTTTTTATATTCTGAATTTTTGAAATATTATAAAGCTGATTATAAATAATTTGAATGAACAAGATCATTATAAAATAAATAAAATTTTAATAGAAAATATATTCATAATTGATACCGCAGCTTCTGCTAAGCCGGCAACAGCACCTAAGACCGAAGTACGAATCCATCAAATAAAACGAGACTTTGTTCTTACTCACAGTGACACACTGTGGTAAATCTGATATGAACAGTGTTTACTCTGAACATACCTGGACAATTAAGGAAGGAACCTCAACCAACTGACCAGCTAGGACAAGTCCTGCGGGCAACTGGCCACCCGTAGTACCAGGTTATGTGGTTCTCTGGTTCGACCCCATGTCAAATAATTCCAAGGACTAGCAAAGGAGTGAAATGACATCACCAGTATATAGTCCCGGCAGACTAGTGGTACTAATAGCACCTCTTTATCCCGGGATTGCAATACACCAAGATGAGGGAAACATGCCCCGGGGCGTCCTCTGCGGAGTATCTATTGTCTTGGAAACATCACAGAACTTATCTCGAAATGTAGTCTTCACCGTGTATCAGTCTTTTAAGCGACATTCTCTTCCCGCTAGTTTGGGTTTAAGTAACAGCAACCAAGTGCACCACGAAGGGACTAAGACAAAGCAAAGTCAAGAACTCTACCCTGAGTTTCGTGGCTTTCTAGTTCAATGCCAAGGATACATTTGACACGACCACTTTAAGGCTCGGCAGACTATTGGATACAAATTTTCATATCTTGTCTAGAGATCCGTGGGGATATTTTTATCAAAGTAAATAACAAATCTTATGAAGACCGTTGAAATCGACAAGTAAGAGTGTTATATTCAAATCAAAGTAATGTGATTTTCGAAAGGTGGCCTTATTATAGACATAGATCATTAGGTTAATATTAACATCAGGTTTGGGTCAGTAATGGATCAAGCTCGTCTAAATTAAAAATTAAATAATTACTTTAATAACAAATGTCAACTTTTGTAACGGTTTATTAACTATAAACTGAACTTCCGTAAGATTGGGTTATATTGGGAATAGGGTCAATTATGATGCGATCTTCATAAAATTTGGTTTATAAATATCGGTTTCTAAAGAGCATTTTAAAATTATTATTTTAACATTAGTATGAGCATTGAAAAAATTGTCAATTTTGGACTGATCTTCATAAAATTTTACACACAAATTTTAATTGCTATAAAACTTGTTTGTGTCGAAAAAAATATTAGACATTTTGAACGATTTAGAATACCTGAATTTGTCCCCTCGTTATATTTATAAGTTAGCAATAAGCGCTAATGTCATGGGGCCTTTATATGGATAGTATGGTCAACTATGGACCACTGAATACGTGGACTGATAGCGCCCATTTCTAATATTGAAACAACTTTCATATATATAAAGTATTTGTGGAAATTGTCAGCCCTTTATATCTTTCTGTTCGTTCCCAATTGTGTTTTGAACAGAAATATGGAAATAGATAGATCGTCTTATAATCTAATAAGGACCCAGAATATACGTACATATGTATATACTTTTGTGGGTCTTAGACCAACATTTGGATGTGTTACAAACGGAATGAGGGTGGGTAAATCTCTGTACTCTCCCCATTACTCTTCAATATAACTAATTATCAAGACATGATAAGAAGGAGGAAATTTTCTACACAAAAGTCAAAACCGAGAGACCAAAGTGGACAATTCTATAGGATAACATACATTTTAAAGACGACGGATTGGACTTTCTTTGCGCTGTTTAAATATCTCAAATATGAAAACCTAATGAGATTGAGAATTTTTGAGGTCAGATTCGGATTCAGCTCAAACCTTTTTAAAAATTTAAAAATTTGTTATTTTATTCAAACACATTCTTAAAATAGTTAATGAATACTTTGAATTTTAATAGTTCATATTAGTATTCATGACTTTGTTCTGCTTATTAAAATGACATTGAACCGGTGTAAGTAAGTATTATCTCAAGTCGCAAACCTTTAGAGACTTTATTTAAATATAAAGAATATAATGAATACTCTTATTTCTAAAATATTCAAATTATTTCCTTATAAAACAAACTTACAACGATGCTTACAACATGAGTCATCGTCATGTTATTGCAGTGTTATTCGTATTCCCTAAAGGATTGTTAGTAATGCATTTAAACACGTGACGATTTGACAAATTTTAAACTAACAAAACATCAAATGACGTTTATATTTTTTGGCACAAAAAATACACAAGTGCATATCGTTCATTTACTACAAGATCGGCTTAAATCAAAAATTTTCATTTTGAGTAAAACGACATTGAATGAAACTCTCTTGTGGGTTTGTGCTGATGTATTGGTCTTTCGCCCACTATAAGATAAGACAATAATTTTCTTTCGATTCTTTCGATTTTGCTATGTCCGTCCATGTAAACCTTGCAATCAAACTACATGTCGTAATTTGAATGATAATTCAATGAAATTTGTTATATGATCTTCTATTATTCTAGAAACGAACAGCTGCGTAGAAACGAAATGCTTCTTCGCATTCTACACAGCTGTCAAAAAAGTAGAATCAATGTTGTTGTGTGCTACAAGTTACAAGCATAAAAGCGTAGGATGCCTTGACGCGTAGAATGATTAAAGTAGATCTACTTTCTACTTTTTTAAGCGTCATAAGCGGCGTACGAATATGTCAGCTGATTTTGACAATTTGTATTCAATTTCTAATGTGTATTTAAGGGCCCTTCACACGGTCACACTTTACGTACGACAAGTCTAATGAAAAAGTAAAATGAAATTCCATCCGTATGACAAAAAACTGAATAAAAGTCGTATGATTTATATTTTTTGTGTTTACACGATTGGTATAAAACAATAACAAAGTAAGATGGAACAGCTGTTTCACTTTTTTTGTATGTGTTTACATAAAAATACATCCCTGATCTAATGCGACTTGCTTGTTTTTTGAATCATTTCAAAAAATGAAGAGAGCCATACGACTGTCAAATTTTCCATCCGTATTTTCTCTCAATGTGTGATGGTTTCATTACATATTGCGTTTAGACGATTCCATCCGTTCTCTTCTACACAAAATTTTGACAGATCATATTACTTGTGTGCTCGTGTGAAGGGGGCTTTATCAGTTTTAATAAAAACGAGTTAAATTGTGAAAATATAAATAAAAAACTTAAGTGTGGAACTCCAGCATTAAGAACTTGTTGAAGAGTTTCCCTTATCTTGCTGGTACTAGTCAAGAAAAAGGATCTTCAGTGCTCTCAAAGTCTACTTACTACGTACATACAAGGCAGTAAATTGGAGAATTTTTTTGGGACCAAAATGCTTAACTGCCCATATATTTCAGTATAGCATCGGGAACATCGTTCTTAGATAAGAAATCGTGGTCATGCAGAACATTAAAGGAAATCCCAGAGAAAATCAATTGGGGATTGGATGAATTGGATTCATATGGCTCTAACAGAGTAATGTACTTGCTTAAAAAGGGTAAAGTATGCGACGAAGCTAACACGATGTAACTGTTAGATGCAATGTGGGCTAAATTGAAAACAAGAACTCCGGGCACTTGGAATAACGCAAACGAAAGGATGATCAGAAGCCTCTTATGATTGCGTCCAGGTTTACGGACACAACTATAAAAATTGGAAAAACAAATTCTGCCGAATCTACAGTAGGGTGTCCCGTGGACAGAAAATAATATGGCTCTCAAATCCACTAAAAATCAATTAAAAATATGATAAGTTAACTTTATAAGGAAAATTTGATCTTAATAATTTGTTAATATGGATAATGGAAAAAAAATCATTAAGTACATCCAAAGGTGGACTTTAAAATACGAAAATTTGTATGCCTTTAATATTCACTTTACACTTTTGTGTCATCTAAGATAACGATATACAATTTAATACAAATATCTGTTAATATATACATATGTATGTATGTATGTAG